ACCGGGGCATGAACCCGTGTCCCCTGCATTGGCAGGCGGACTCTCAACCACTGCGCCACCAGGGAAGCCCTATAATCTCCCTTTTGATTGACCCAAAGCCAAACTGATTAGTACCTTAATTATACCTGCAACATCCCTTCCTTTTTGCCTTATACCGTAGCCTAATCACAATGATATCCATCATATTCATGTATCCTGCCAACACTTGAGTAAAGGGGATTATAAAGGGTATGTACACCAGGGAATCTTGAGAGCCATCTTAGAGTTCCTATACCACAAAGAAATACTAGTATTTAGAGCTGGAGCAGTTTAGAAGTGATCAGTAATATGTTGCAAACATTTTTAGATGAAGGTTACCTGTGAGAATCTATTGAGAACTTTGGACTGGCTTCCTTCCAAAATGCATATACATACAGTTTTAGGGGTTCTGTGGGAGTCTGAATTTCAGAATATGAATGAACTGTCCCAGTCCCCTGCTTCAGATGACAGAGTTGTGAAGAAGTGACTTGATCAAGGCCAGACAGCTACTAAAGGCTAGGGAAGACCCAGATTGTACCTCCCATACCATTGGAACCTGTGCTTTCAATTACTGTTCTAAAACTGAGTTCATTTAAATTTGTGAGCCAATGCAAAAAAATGTTTATGCAGCTTTTCATATTTGTATTTTGAGGAATGGCTAACACTAATTCTTATAGAAGCTTGTGAGTTTTGAAATTACAGTTGACCTTTGAACAGTATGGACTTTGCAGGCCCACTTAAATACCATTTTTTTTTTTCACTAAATACTACAGGGTCAACTGTACTTTAAATCATCTTTAGATTACTTGTGATACCTAATACAGTGTAAATGCCATGTAAATAATTGTTAAGCACAATGTAAGTGCTGTGTAGCTAGTCCCTTGAACAAAGCTGGGGTTAGGGGTGCCAGCCCTCTGCACAGTCAAAAATTGAAAATCCTCATATCCGTGGTTCCACATCCAAGGATTCAACCAGCCACAGATCATGTAGTACTGTAGTGCATATTTAGTGAAAAAAGTCTATGTATAAGTGAACCCAGGCAGTTCAAACCCATGTTGTTCAAGAGTCCACTGTATTTGATTTCTTTGATTTTCCAAAAATTGATCTGGATATTAAGAAGGTGAACTACAAACAGGCCAATTTAGCTTGAATCAAAAAAAGTTACCAGTTAACTCCTGAGGTTTAATGGATTATTTACTTCTTAAACTTGACATTTTAAACACTTAAGGAGAAAATGGGTTTTCTTTTTAACAAACACATTAATGAAGTGTATACTCTTTAAAAGTATAAGTAATGAAATTATGCACATATGCCTTTAAATAAAATCAAAGTGCACATTTATAGTCTTATTGTAATGAGTTAATTCCTAAGTTAAAAGGACGAAAAAAATGATTTGTAAAGCCTATATTCCAGTGTGATCAGAAGCAACTGAACTGTAGTGTCACATTGCATATTAACTATCATGTCAATAATATACAGGAAGGTAGATTGAATGGTTTTTCTCTTAAGATACAACTAAGCAGTTCCATTAATTTTGAATATTCTAAATTCAGGCCTTTAAGGTGACAAATTTGGTTCAGGACGTCCATGCCAGGATGTACTGTTTATAAAATTGACTTGACAGCTGCTACTTGGCATATAAGAGCAGCTGAGTGTGGAGGAAAGTAAATACCGCCCTGCACATTTCTGATTTACCTCTTACCAGAGGCCTGCACTCCTTTTTTTTTTTTTTTAATTAATTTATCTTTGGCTGCGTTGGATCTTCGTTGCTGGGCGCAGGCTTTCTCTAGTTGCGGCAAGCGGGAGCTACTCTTAGTTGTGGTGCGCGGGCTTCTCATTGCGGTGGCTTCTCGTTGCAGAGCACGGGCTCTAGGCACGCGGGCTCAGTAGTTGTGGTTCGTGGGCTCTAGAGCGCAGGCTCAGTAGTTGTGGCGCACGGGCTTAGTTGCTCCGCGGCATGTGGGATCTTCCTGGACCAGGGCTCAAACCCGTGTCCCCTGCATTGGCAGGTGGATTCTTAACCACT